CTGTAAGTCGCTCTGGATAAGAGCGTCTGCTAAATGACTAAAATGTAAATGTAAATAGAAGTGGGAGACAGAATATGACCACAGTAAGGGGCGGAGGCCATAATGTTTTTTTACATTTTAGTCATTTAGCAGACGCTCTTATCCAGAGCGACTCACAGTTAGTGACTGCATACATTTTTCATACTGTTCCCAATTTTAATGTATACCATGAATGTTATAAATGTGTAATAAATGGTCTGTAGACATGCAAGACAGATTATAGCGTAGTAAGTATTGGTAGGTTCATTCTCCAGAGGTCATGTTCTTAGGGCGTAGGGTGTAGGGAAGGCTTCTGTAGTGACCCAAAAGGGACAGAGTCAAATACCCCAGTGTGCCATCACAGCAGCAAGATTTGTGACCTGTTGCCACAAGGAAAGGCCAACCAGTGAAGAACAAACACCATTGTAAATACAACCCATTTGATTTATTTTCCCTTTTGTACGTTAACCATTTGCACATTGTTACAACACTGTATATAGACATAATATGACATTTTGAAATGTTTTTATTATTTTGGTTTACTGTTAATTTGTATTGTTTATTTCACTTTTGTAAATATCTACTTCACTTGCTATGGCAATGTTAACATACGTTTCCCATGCCAATAAAGCCCTTCAATTGAATTGAGAGAGAGAAAGAGAGGTGGTGGGGGGGTTGGGAGAAGATCCTGTAGTCCAATAGTAAAAGTGCTCTCGTCATGTGACCTGCTGTTATCAGCAGTAGCATCAGGAATCACTAGAGCATGAGTCCATCTGTTATCAGGAGTAGCATCAGGAATCACTGGAGCATGAGTCCATCTGTTATCAGGAGTAGCATCAGGAATCACTGGAGCATGAGTCCATCTGTTATCAGGAGTAGCATCAGGAATCACTGGAGCATGAGTCCATCTGTTATCAGGAGTAGCATCAGGAATCACTGGAGCATGAGTCCATCTGTTATCAGGAGTAGCATCAGGAATCACTGGAGCATGAGTCCATCTGTTATCAGGAGTAGCATCAGGAATCACTGGAGCATGAGTCCATCTGTTATCAGGAGTAGCATCAGGAATCACTGGAGCATGAGTCCATCTGTTATCAGGAGTAGCATCAGGAATCACTGGAGCATGAGTCCATCTGTTATCAGGAGTAGCATCAGGAATCACTGGAGCATGAGTCCATCTGTTATCAGGAGTAGCATCAGGAATCACTGGAGCATGAGTCCATCTGTTATCAGGAGTAGCATCAGGAATCACTGGAGCATGAGTCCATCTGTTATCAGGAGTAGCATCAGGAATCACTGGAGCATGAGTCCATCTGTTATCAGGAGTAGCATCAGGAATCACTGGAGCATGAGTCCATCTGTTATCAGGAGTAGCATCAGGAATCACTGGAGCATGAGTCCATCTGTTATCAGGAGTAGCATCAGGAATCACTGGAGCATGAGTCCATCTGTTATCAGGAGTAGCATCAGGAATCACTGGAGCATGAGTCAAATCAAATTGTATTTGTCACATGCGCCGAATTACCCTGAAATGCTTACTTACAAGCCCTTAACCAACAATGCAGTTAAGAAAATGTGCCACTAGAGATCCTGGTTCGAATCCAGGCTCTGTCGTAGCCGGCCGCGACCGGGAGACCCATGGGGCGGCGCACAATTGGCCCAGCGTCGTCCAGGGTAGGGGAGGGAATGGCCGGCAGGGATGTAGCTCAGTTGGTAGAGCATGACATTTGTAATGCCAGGGTTGTGGGTTCGATTCCAGTATAAAAAAATAAAAATTTATGCACTCACTAACTGTAAGTCGCTCTGGATAAGAGCGTCTGCTAAATGACTAAAATGTAAATGTAATGTAAAATGAAAATAGAGTTAAGAAAATATTTACTAAATAAACTAAAGTTAAAAATAAAATAAAAAGTAACACAATAAAATAACAATAACGAGGCTATATACAGGGGGTACCGGTACCGAGTCAATGTGTGGGGGTACGGGTTAGTTGAGGTCATTCGTACAGGTAGGGGTAAAGTGACTATGCATAGATAATAAACAGCGAGTAGCAGCAGTGTAAATAGTCCGGGTGGCCATTTGATTAATTGTTCAGCAGTCTAATGGCTTGAAGCTGTTAAGGAGCCTTTTGGACCTAGACTTGGCTCCTACGGGAATCGCTTGCTGTGCGGTAGCAGAGGGAACAGTCTATGACTTGTGTGAATGGAGCCATTTGCAATGGATGTTAAAAATACACTTTCCTATATTTCCGGGCAGCAGGCTCAGGCGTGCGCGCAACACACACTCACATGGAGCACTCCGAACACACACTCACATGGAGCACTCCGAACACACACTCACATGGAGCACTCCGAACACACACTCACATGGAGCACTCCGAACACACACTCACATGGAGCACTCCGAACAAAAGACAGCTAAAAAATGATGGTTGTGAGAAATAAGTTTTGGTTTATATCATAAGTGTAGGAGGTTGTGAACTCTGCAAACAATGTTTCCACTCCGATAAATAAGTATTATTGGAGAGAGAGGAAAGGAGCTACACCTCTGCATTAACAGAAATGAAGGTAACCAAATGACAGGGATTAACAGTACATTATGCTGGTGACATTTACTGCTAACGGAAACCCTGAGACCAGAGAATGTGTATTACAATGATAACTGTTATAACCTTGTTTAGCCTATATGAGAACTCAGATTACTTCTAATGTAATACTCTCTCTACTGTATAATTAATCGTATTAATATCGATATAACTGCTATAATATAACAATATACTCTATTATCCTGATATATGTCTATATATCTATTTCTCTCTCTCATTCTTTCTATATCATACTCTCTTAGTTATCCATATGTCAATTCTACTTGTCTCTCCTCTACTATACTGTCATATATCTCCATGTCCTCTCTCTATAGATCGTCTTATACTGTTCTCCTATACTAGATAATGTCCTATAGATCTCTCTCGTAATACTCTGATCTCATCTCTCTCTCACTTCCTGTTTCTGTTTATTATGCTCTCTCTTCTCTCTCCTGTCTATCCCTCTCTCTATGTCTCTCCTACTCTATCTTCTGTCTTATCCTCTCTAATTCCTACATCTCTTCTCTCTGTCTCCCTACCATCACCTGTCTTTCTCTGGTCTTCTACTCTCTCAATGTCTACTCCTCTGTTACTCTATCTGTACTCCTCTGTACTCTCCTCTATCTCCTGTTCTAATCTCGGTATATGCTAGCTAATTCTAGATAGTCGATGAGTTAACTGTATATATATAATGTTAATGATTATAATGTGTATATGTATATATTTCTACTGTATTATCTATTATATATGTATATACTATATCTGTATTCCTATATATATGTCATTCCTAATCTCTCCTCTATAATGTATATAATGTATATATATATCTAATCGTATAAACTGCTCTATCATTATCTACTGTTTCTATCTTCATTAATGTTATACATTGCTTATTTCATGTCTATTAACTCTGTATATCTCTATACTAGTCTACTTCTCTATACTGTCTTATCTCACTTGTATATAATATCTTATTTTCAAATAATCATGTATCTAATATATATCATGTATTACTGTATCTAATGTCTACTACTATATACTCCTGTCTATAATATATATATCATCTTCACTGTCTATCCTCTCTACTTATTATCACCTAATCGTTTATCATCATAACCTGTATTAATTATATACATGTCTTATCATACTCTCACTGTCTTACCTCTTATTTTTTATATTCTCCTATCTACGTTATATCTCTATAATCTGTCTTTTTATCTCCTGTATTCATCTCTCTCATGTCTCTCCTTCTCAATGTTCTCTTATATCTCTCTCTCCTCTTCATCTCATTATCCTGTCATGTATCTCTCATACATCTTCTATCATCTCACCTGTCTTTCTCTCCTGTCTCTCATTTTATCTATTCTCATCTGTTATCTCTCTTATCCTGTATCCCTCTCATCTGTTCTCCTTCTCTCATTATGCTCTACTCTATCTATCCTCATCTGTTCTCTTTTCTCTCCTGTCATAACTTGTCTATATCTAATGTCTTTTTCCTTTCTCTTTTCTCTCTGTCTTCTATCCTCATCATCTTATACATTCTCTCCTATCATCTCTATTCTCCTATCCTTTTTTTATACCATTTCTGTTCTACTTATCTGTCATCTTCCTTCTCTCCTGTTCTCTCCTTAGTTCTATCATAATATGTATTCGTCTTTTCTACTCGCTCTATGTCATTAACTTGTTATCTCTTATATCATCTACTCTCTCTCTTATATTCTATTCTCTATTCTGTTCTATTGTATCTCCTTACTATACTCCGTCTATTTTTCTCTACTCTCCTCTATCTCTCTCTATCTGTCTCTCCTTCTCTCCTATCTCTCCTTCTCTCTTATCTCCTCTCTCTCTGTTCTCTTTGTTATCTTTCTATCCTGTCCCCCTCTCCTGTCTCTCCTATCTCTCCTCTCTCCTGTCTCTCCTTCTCTCCTGTCTCTCTCTCTCTCCTGTCTCTCCTGTCTCTCCTCTCTCTTCTCTTCCTCTCTCTCCTGTCTCTCCTCTCTCTCCTGTCTTCCTGTCTCTCCTCTCTTCCTTCTCTTCTCTTCTATGTCTCCTCTCCTCTCTCTCCTGTCTCTCCTGTCTCTCCTCTCTCTCCTGTCTCTCTGTCTCTCCTCTCTCTCCTGTCTCTCCTCTGTCTCCTGTCTCCTCTCTCCTGTCTCTCCTCTGTCTCCTGTCTCTCCTCCCTCTCCTGTCTCTCCTCTGTCTCCTGTCTCTCCTCTGTCTCCTGTCTCCTCTCTCTCCTGTCTCTCCTGTCTCTCCTCTGTCTCCTGTCTCTCCTCCCTCTCTCTCCTCTCTCCTGTCTCTCTCGCTTGTCTCTCCACTAGGCTGGGGCCATGGCGATGTGGAGACCAGAGAGTGTGTGTACTACAATGATAACTGGCGTACAGAGCGTACCAACCAGAGTGGTGTGGAGAGGTGTGAGGGGGAGAAGGACAAGAGACTACATTGCTACTCCTCCTGGCTCAACATCTCAGGAACCATCAAACTGGTGAAGAAAGGCTGCTGGCTTGATGACTTCAACTGCTATGACAGGTACTAGACACTACTTACAACTGCTATGACAGGTACTAGATACTACTTACCAACTGCTATGACGGGTACTAGATACTACTTACAACTGCTATGACAGGTACTAGACACTACTTACCAACTGCTATGACAGGTACTAGATACTACTTACCAACTGTTATTCAACTGAATTCAGTTCATGAAAACAACTAGCTAGCCAGCTGCTTAACCCTGTTGCCCAAAGCTAACGTTATAAGCAGCCAGTAAGCAGCCAGTAAACTTCATCTGGCTGGTGAGGCTTGACCGGACCGGATAATGTGTTGTGAAAATAGCCACAATAAGGATTAGCCACAATAGTGGAATTTGCGGGTTGCCTTCAAAATAAAAGTTCCTATTTGAAAGTGACGCAGAAGGTTACAATTGGTGAAATCATGCAATATTTAGACTAGATAATGTTAAACAAGGTTGGAATGTGGAGCAATGAAATGGGGTATCAGTCTACTCTGTGACACCCACAGAAAACAACTGTGAAGAGTTTCTGCAGATATTAGCGTTGATCCCCTAGGCAGCCTATTGTGCTTATTGACATTCACATGGCACTGTGCAGCCTCACCTAGGGATTGGGGATCAGTTACTCAGTACCAAGAGCCTTTTCCCCAACGTCCTCCTCAGAGTTATCACACTCCAAAACATCGTTTTCCCTCTGGAATAGTGTTCAATACACATAGTAGGGTGAATAATTTACATAACACTACTTATCAACTGTTATGACAGGTACTAGACACTACTTACCAACTGTTATGACAGGTACTAGACACTACTTATCAACTGTTATGACAGGTACTAGATACTACTTACCAACTGTTATGACTGGTACTAGATACTACTTATCAACTGTTATGACAGGTACTAGACACTACTTACCAACTGTTATGACAGGTACTAGACACTACTTACCAACTGTTATGACAGGTACTAGACACTACTTACCAACTGTTATGACAGGTTCTAGATACTACTTACCAACTGTTATGACAGGTACTAGACACTACTTACCAACTGTTATGACAGGTACTAGACACTACTTACCAACTGTTATGACAGCTACCCGACACGTAGAACCTTTTACTGGGTGTTGTGAGAGGACTCGTGGGTAGGGCTGTGACGTTTATTGGCCAAACAAATGACCGTGGTCACTGTAATATGGAATCATGTAGTAACCAAAAAAGTGTTAAACAAATCAAAATATATTTTATATTTGAGATTCTTCAAATAGCCACACTTTGCCTTGATGACAGCTTTGCACACTCTTGGCATTCTCTCAACCAGCTTCATGAGGTAGTCACCTGGAATGCATTTCAATTAACAGGTGTGCCTTCTTAAAAGTTAATTTGTGGAATTTCTTTCCTTCTTAATGCGTTTGAGCCAATCAGTTGTGTTGTGACAATGTAGGGGGGGTATACAGAAGATAGCCCTATTTGGTAAAAGACCAAGTCCATATTATGGCAAGAACAGCTCAAATAAGCAAAGAGAAACGACAGTCCATCATTACTTTAAGACATGAAGGTCAGTCGATGCTGAACATTTCAAGAACTTTTAAAGTTTATTCAAGTGCAATCGCAAAAACAATCAAGCGCTTTGATGAAACTGGCTCTCATGAGGACCACCACAGGAATGGAAGACCCAGAGTTACCTCTGCTGCAGAGGATACGTCCATTAGAGTTACCAGCCTCAGAAATTGCAGCCCAAATAAATTATTCACAGGGTTCAAGTAACAGACACATCTCAACATCAACTATTCAGAGGGGACTGTGTGAATCAGGCCTTCATGGTCGAATTGCTGCAAAGCAACCACTACTAAAGGACATCAATAAGAAGAAGAGACCTGCTTGGGCCAAGAAACACGAGCAATGGACATTAGACCAGTGGAAATTTGTCCTTTGGTCTGGAGTCCAAATTGGAGATTTTTGGTTCCAACCGCCGTGTGTTTTTGAGACGCGGTGTGGGTGAACGGATGATCTCCGCATGTGTATTTACCACCGTAAAGCATGGAGGAGGAGGTGTTATGATGCAGGGGTGCTTTGCTGGTTTCACTGTCTGTGATTTATTGAGAATTCAAGGCACACTTAACCAGCATGGCTACCACAGCATTCTACAGCGATACGCCATCCCATCTGGTTTGGGCTTAGTGGGACTATCATTTGTTTTTCAACAGGACAATGACCCAACACACCTCCAGGCTGTGTAAGGGCTATTTTACCAAGAAGGAGAGTGATGGAGTGCTGCATCAGATGACCTGGCCTCCACAATCCCCTGACCTCAACCCAATTGAGATGGTTTGGGATGAGTCGGAACGCAGAGTGAAGGAAAAGCAGCCAACAAGGTGCTCAGCATATGTGGGAACTCCTTCAAGACTGTTGGAAAAGCATTCCAGGTGAAGCTGGTTGAGTGAATGCCAAGAGTGTGCAAAGCTGTCATCAAGGCAAAGGGTGGCTATTTGAAGAATCTCAAATATAAAATAATATTTTGATTTGTTTAACACTTTTTTTTTGTTTACTACATGATTCCATATGTGTTATTTCATAGTTTTGATGTCTTCACTATTATTCTACAATGTAGAAAATCGTAAAAATAAAGAAAAACCCTTGAATGAGTAGGTCTGTCCAAACTTTTGACTGGTACTGTATATATACAGTGGGGAGAACAAGTATTTGATACACTGCTGATTTTGCAGGTTTTCCTACTTACAAAGCATGTAGAGGTCTGTAATATTTATCATAGGTACACTTCAACTGTGAGAGACGGAATCTAAAACAAAAATCCAGAAAATCACATTGTATGATTTTTAAGTAATTATTTTGCATTTTATTGCATGACATAAGTATTTGATACATCAGAAAAGCAGAACTTAATATTTGGTACAGAAACCTTTGTTTGCAATTACAGAGATCATACGTTTCCTGTAGGTCTTGACCAGGTTTGCACACACTGTAGCAGGGATTTTGGCCCACTCCTCCATACAGACCTTCTCCAGATCCTTCAGGTTTCGGGGCTGTCGCTGGGCAATACGGAATTTCAGCTCCCTCCAAAGATTTTCTATTGGGTTCAGGTCTGGAGACTGGCTAGGCCACTCCAGGACCTTGAGATGCTTCTTACGGAGCCACTCCTTAGTTGCCCTGGCTGTGTGTTTTGGGTCGTTGTCATGCTGGAAGACCCAGCCACAACCCATCTTCAATGCTCTTACTGAGGGAAGGAGGTTATTGGCCAAGATCTCACGATACATGGCCCCATCCATCCTCCCCTCAATACGGTGCAGTCGTCCTGTCCCCTTTGCAGAAAAGCATCTCCAAAGAATGATGTTTCCACCTCCATGCTTCACGGTTGGGATGGTGTTCTTGGGGATGTACTCATCCTTCTTCTTCCTCCAAACAAGGCGAGTGAAGTTTAGACCAAAAAGCTCTATTTTTGTCTCATCAGACCACATGACCTTCTCCCATTCCTCCTCTGGATCATCCAGATAATCATTGGCAAACTTCAGACGGGCCTGGACATGCGCTGGCTTGAGCAGGGGGACCTTGCATGCGCTGCAGGATTTTAATCCATGACGGCGTAGTGTGTTACTAATGGTTTTCTTTGAGACTGTGGTCCCAGCTCTCTTCAGGTCATTGACCAGGTCCTGCCGTGTAGTTCTGGGCTGATCCCTCACCTTCCTCATGATCATTGATGACCCACGAGGTGATATCTTGCATGGAGCCCCAGACCAAGGGTGATTGACCGTCATCTTGAACTTCTTCCATTTTCTAATAATTGCACCAACAGTTGTTGCCTTCTCACCAAGCTGCTTGCCTATTGTCCTGTAGCCCATCCCAGCCTTGTGCAGGTCTACAATTTTATCCCTGATGTCCTTACACAGCTCTCTGGTCTTGGCCATTGTGGAGAGGTTGGAGTCTGTTTGATTGAGTGTGTGGACAGGTGTCTTTTATACAGGTAACGAGTTCAAACAGGTGCAGTTAATACAGGTAATGAGTGAAGAACAGGAGTGCTTCTTAAAGAAAAACTAACAGGTCTGTGAGAGCCGGAATTCTTACTGGTTGGTAGGTGATCAAATACTTATGTCATGCAATAAAATGCAAATGAATTACTTAAAAATCATACAATGTGATTTTCTGGATTTTTGTTTTAGATTCCGTCTCTCACAGTTGAAGTGTACCTATGATAAAAATGACAGACCTCTACATGCTTTGTAAGTAGGAAAACCTGCAAAATCGGCAGTGTATCAAATACTTGTTCTCCCCACTGTATATATTCCACTCTCCTTGATAAACAAACATTTTTTCGACTCTCCTCAGCTCCTGACCGCATGCGTCATAGAAATAGAATGAATAGAACGGGCGTCCACATTCAAGTCAACGATGGCATAATGGGTGGACTGGCAGCCATTACAAGTGTACCCATACAGTGGGGGAAAAAAGTATTTAGTCAGCCACCAATTGTGCAAGTTCTCCCACTTAAAAAGATGAGAGAGGCCTGTAATTTTCATCATAGGTACACATCAACTATGACAGACAAAATGAGAAGAAAAAAATCCAGAAAATCACATTGTAGGATTTTTTATGAATTAATTTGCAAATTATGGTGGAAAATAAGTATTTGGTCAATAACAAAAGTTTCTCAATACTTTGTTATATACCCTTTGTTGGCAATGACACAGGTCAAACGTTTTCTGTAATCTTCACAAGGTTTTCACACACTGTTGCTGGTATTTTGGCCCATTCCTCCATGCAGATCTCCTCTAGAGCAGTGATGTTTTGGGGCTGTCGCTGGGCAACATGGACTTTCAATTCCCTCCAAAAATGTTCTATGGGGTTGAGATCTGGAGACTGGCTAGGCCACTCCAGGACCTTGAAATGCTTCTTACGAAGCCACTCCTTCGTTGCCCGGGCGGTGTGTTTGGGATCATTGTCATGCTGAAAGACCCAGCCACGTTTCATCTTCAATGCCCTTGCTGATGGAAGGAGGTTTTCACTCAAAATCTCACGATACAGGGCCCCATTCATTCTTTCCTTTACACGGATCAGTCGTCCTGGTCCCTTTGCAGAAAAACAGCCCCAAAGCATGATGTTTCCACCCCCATGCTTCACAGTAGGTATGGTGTTCTTTAGATGCAACTCAGCATTCTTTGTCCTCCAAACATGACGAGTTGAGTTTTTACCAAAAAGTTATATTTTGGTTTCATCTGACCATATGACATTCTCCCAATCCTCTTCTGGATCATCCAAATGCACTCTAGCAAACTTCAGACGGGCCTGGACGTGTACTGGCTTAAGCAGGGGGACACGTCTGGCACTGCAGGATTTGAGTCCCTGGCGGCGTAGTGTGTTACTGATGGTAGGCTTTGTTACTTTGGTCCCAGCTCTCTGCAGGTCATTCACTAGGTCCCCCCGTGTGGTTCTGGGATTTTTGCTCACCGTTCTTGTGATCATTTTGACCCCACAGGGTGAGATCTTGCATGGAGCCCCAGATCGAGGGAGATTATCAGTGGTCTTGTATGTCTTCCATTTCCTAATAATTGCTCCCACAGTTGATTTCTTCAAACCAAGCTGCTTACCTATTGCAGATTCAGTCTTCCCAGCCTGGTGCAGGTCTACAATGTTGTTTCTGGTGTCCTTTGACAGCTCTTTGGTCTTGGCCATAGTGGAGTTTGGAGTGTGACTGTTTGAGGTTGTGGACAGGTGTCTTTTATACTCACGGGGATAGGCGGCACTGGTCCTTATTCCACTTGTGTAATAACAAAAAATGCTATGCGCATTGGAAATACAAATCAATCACAGATCAACTACAGTTGTCAGAAGTTTACATACACTCAATTAGTATTTGGTAGCATTGCCTTTTAACTTGTTTAACTTGGGTCAAACATTTCGGGTAGCCTTCCACAAGCTTCCCACAATAAGTTGGGTGAATTTTGGCCCATTCCTCCTGACAGAGCTCCATAACTTGCTACATTTGCACACACTGTATATATATTTTCTGTTGTATTTTTGACTTTATGTTTTTTTACCCCATATGTAACTCTGTGTTGTTTTTATTGCACTGCTTTGCTTTTATCTTGGCCAGGTCGCAGTTGTAAATGAGAACCTGTTCTCAACTGGTTTACCTGGTTAAATAAAGGTGAAATAAAATAAATAAATAAAGAGCTGGTGAAGTCGGAAGTTTACATACACTTAGGTTGGAGTCATTAAAACTCGTTTTTCAACCACTCCACAAATTTCTTGTTAATAAACTATAGTTTTGGCAAGTCTGTTAGGACATCTACTTTGTGCATGACATAAGTAATTTTTCCAACAATTGTTTACAGACAGATTATTTCACTTATAATTCACTGTATCACAAATCCAGTGGGTCAGAAGTTTACATACACTAAGTTGACTGTGCCTTTTAAACAGCTTGGAAAATTCCATAAAATGATGTCATGGCTGTAGAAGCTTTTGATAGGCTGATTGACATAATTTGAGTCAATTGGAGATGTACCTGTGGATGTATTTCAAGGCCTACCTTCAAACTCAGTGCCTCTTTGCTTGACATCATAGGAAAATCAAAAGAAATAAGCCAAGACCTCAGAAAAGAAATGGTAGACCTCCACAAGTCTGGTTCATCCTTGGGAGCAATTTCCAAACGCCTGAAGGTACCACGTTCATCTGTACAAACAATAGTACGCAAGTATAAACACCATGGGACCACGCAGCCGTCATACCGCTCAGGAAGGAGACGCGTTCTGTCTCCTAGAGATGAATATACTTTGGTGCGAAAAGTGCAAATCAATCCCAGAACAACAGCAAAGGACCTTATGAAGATGCTGGAGGAAATGGTGTACAAAAGTATCTATATCCACAGTAAAACGAGTCTTATATCGACATAACCTGAAAGGCCACTCAGCAAGGAAGAACCCAATGCTCCAAAACCACCATAAAAAAGCCAGACTACGGTTTGCAACTGCACATGGGGACAAAGATCATACTTTTGTGGATATATTGAAGCAACATCTCAAGACATCAGTCAGGAAGTTAAAGCTTGGTCGCAAATGGGTCTTCCAAATGGACAATGACCCCAAGCATACTTTCAAAGTTGTGGCAAAATGGCTTAAGGACAACAAAGTCAAGGTATTGGGAGTGGCCATCACAAAGCCCTGACCTCAATCCTATAGACAATTTGTGGGCAGAACTGAAAAAGTGTGTGCGAGCAAGGAGGCCTACAAACCTGACTCAGTTACACCAGCTCTGTCAGGAGGAATGGGCCAAAATGCACCCAACTTATTGTGGGAAGCTTGTGGAAAGCTACCCGAAACGTTTGACCCAAGTTAAACAATTGAAAGGCAATGCTACCAAATACTAATCGAGTGTATGTAAACTTCTGACCCACTGGGAATGTGATGAAATAAATAAAAGCTGAAATAAATAATTCTCTCTACTATTATTCTGACATTTCACATTCTTAAAATAAAGTGGTGATCCTAACTGACCTAAGACAGGGAATTATTACTAGGATTAAATGTCAGGAATTGTGAAAAACTGAGTTTAAATGTATTTGGCTACGGTGTATGTAAACTGTATGTAACACCATGATGTTACAATGGCCTTACTCAAATCATTCTAGCAGTACTGCAGACGTATGAGAGTAACATTTGAAGTAATAGAATGTGTGTCTCTCTCGTCAGGCTGGAGTGTGTGTCCAGGGAAGTGAATCCCCAGGTGTTCTTCTGCTGCTGTGAGGGGAACTACTGCAACGAGGGGTTCACACACCTTCCTGACCTCATCGCCGCCGGCAACAGGGGTGAGTGGACATGACCTTTGAACCCCATTCTTTTAAAAAAAACTGACTGACTTACTGGTTGATTGACCTGTGATCTCTTCTCCTCCCAAGTGAAAATCCGTCCCCCTCCCAGAGTGCCGTCTCTGTTGAATATCCTGGTGTACAGTCTGCTAGCTCTGTGTGTTCTGTCTCTGACCCTGCTACTGGCTCTGTGGATGTACCGACACCGAAAATCACCCTACGGACATGTTGACATCAGTGAGGTGAGACCACTCCACTTAACTAGTGCTGATCTAGGATCACGTCCCCCAGGGACCATATCATCTGCTCTAGGATCACGTCCCCCAGGGACCATATCATCTGCTCTAGGATCACGTCCCCCAGGGACCATATCATCTGCTCTAGGATCACGTCCCCCAGGGACCATATCATCTGCTCTAGGATCACGTCCCCCAGGGACCATATCATCTGCTCTAGGATCACGTCCCCCAGGGACCATATCATCTGATCTAGGATCACGTCCCCCAGGGACCATATCATCTGATCTAGGATCACGTCCCCCAGGGACCATATCATCTGATCTAGGATCACGTCCCCCAGGGACCATATCATCTGATCGAGGATCACGTCCCCCAGGGACCATATCATCTGATCTAGGATCACGTCCCCAGGGACCATATCATCTGATCTAGGATCACGTCCCCCAGGGACCATATCATCTGATCTAGGATCACGTCCCCCAGGGACCATATCATCTGATCTAGGATCACGTCCCCCAGGGACCATATCATCTGATCTAGGATCACGTCCCCCAGGGACCATATCATCTGCTCTAGGATCACGTCCCCCAGGGACCATATCATCTGCTCTAGGATCACGTCCCCCAGGGACCATATCATCTGATCTAGGATCACGTCCCCCAGGGACCATATCATCTGATCTAGGATCACGTCCCCCAGGGACCATATCATCTGATCTAGGATCACGTCCCCCAGGGACCATATCATCTGATCTAGGATCACGTCCCCCAGGGACCATATCATCTGCTCTAGGATCACGTCCCCCAGGGACCATATCATCTGATCTAGGATCACGTCCCCCAGGGACCATATCATCTGATCTAGGATCACGTCCCCCAGGGACCATATCATCTGATCTAGGATCACGTCCCCCAGGGACCATATCATCTGCTCTAGGATCACGTCCCCCAGGGACCATATCATCTGCTCTAGGATCACGTCCCCCAGGGACCATATCATCTGATCTAGGATCACGTCCCCCAGGGACCATATCATCTGATTTTGGATAATCTGATCTTGGATCAGGTCCCCCTGTGAGTGGCGCAGTGGTCTAAGGCACTGCATCACAGTGCTAACTGTGCCACTAGAGATCCTGGTTCGAATCCAGGCTCTGTCGCAGCCGGCCGCGACCGGGAGACTCATGGGCGGCGCACAATTGGCCCAGCGTCGTCCAGGGTTGGGGAGGGAATGGCCGGCAGGGATGTAGCTCAGTTGATAGAGCATGGCGTTTGCAACGCCAGGGTTGTGGGTTTGATTCCCACGGGGGGCCAGTATAAAAAAAAAATGTATTCACTAACTGTAAGTCGCTCTGGATAAGAGTGTCTGCTAAATGACTAAAATGTAAAATGTAAATGTATATCATCTGCACTAGGATCACGTCCCCCAGGGACCATATCATCTGCTCTAGGATCACGTCCCCTAGGGACCATATCATCTGAAAGGGAATTCTTTATTCATTATGATCCTATATCAGCACAAACAAGAGTTTCATGAAAAAAGGTTGTGTTTACACAGGCAGCCCAATTCTGATCTCTTGCATAATTATTGGCAAAAGATCTGATTTTGTTAAAAGAACAATTATTGGCAAAGGATCACAGCCAAACACCCACACATAAAGAAGGTCAAGGAAAGTATCAGAGAATTGATGGAATGTGATATGGAATTGATGGAATGTGATATGGAATTGATGGAATGTGATATGGAATTGATGGAATGTGATATGGAATGTGATATGGAATGTGATATGGAATGTGATATGGAATTGATGGAATGTGATATGGAATTGATGGAATGTGATATGGAATTAATGGAATGTGATATGGAATTGTTCATCAGGTTGTAGTGCTTTCTCCCTCTCTCCGTCCGTGTGTCAGGACCCCGGGCAAACCCCTCCCTCTCCCATGGTGGGGCTGAAGCCTCTGCAGTTACTGGAGGTGAAGGCTAGGGGGCGCTTCGGCTGTGTGTGGAAGGCCCAACTGATGAGTGAATATGTGGCTGTGAAGATCTTCCCTGTTCAGGTAAGAGAGTCTGGGGTTTATGAGATTTGACGATACTGTATTGCTGTGGAGGAAACCATGTTCCATCTGCAGAAGTACAGTTGCTAGTTACAGAGATTTGTATATATTATTGCCTGTTTTCTGTGTAGACCTACAAAACATAAAAATCAGACCACGTTTCAAGCACAGTTGAGGATCACTATCACTCCCATGAACAATGGGAATCATTAGGGAAGGGGGACACCTAGTCAGTTGTTCAACTGAATGCATTCAACTAAAATATGTCTTCCACATTTAACCCAAACCCCTCTGAATCAGACGTCCACATCATCGGTGCCCAGGGAACAGTTGTTGTTCGGGGTTAACTGCCTTGCTCAAGGGCAGAACGGCAGATTTTTTCCACCTTGCCGGGTCGGGATTCGAACCAGCAACCTTTCCGTTACTGGCCCAACGTTCTTAACCGCTAGGCTACCTGGTGTACCTTCCTTCCTGAGATGTGTGCAAACCTGGTGGCCAACTACAAGAAACGTCTGACCTCTGTGATTGCCAACAAGGGTTTTGCCACCAAGTACTAAATCATGTTTTGCAGAGGGGGTCAAATACTTATTTCCCTCATTAAAATGCAAATCAATTTATAACATTTTTGACATGCGTTTTTCTGGATTGTTTTGTTGTTATTCTGTCTCTCACTGTTCAAATACACCTACCATTAAAATTATAGACTGATCATGTCTTTGTCAGTGGGCAAACGTACAAAATCAGCAGGGGATCAAATACTTTTTTCCCTCACTGTAGGTGCTGATACGACATGTATTGCGATTCGACACTGTGATTGTATTGTTATTTGATGTTCCTAACATATTGCTCACAATATGTCTGCTGCAGAGACGAGAGAGAGTGTGGGAACATGAGTTTTGATCAGTCATGGAAATAAAAGATAGAGAAACAAGCTATAGGAAGAAAAATAATGGAATTCTGGCGCAGGCACAGCTGACTAACGCTAGCTAACACTGCCTAGCAAAAAAAAAAATGCATTTTTTTTTTTACAAATCGATACTTGGAGTCAAAGTATCTATTATATTATTGGGCAAAATAATATTGCGATATGTAACTGTATCGATGTTTTCCAATCACTATTACCTTTTTATGATCCATTCTGGTTCAGTGAATTCAGATTATTGTATAAAATTACCCCGACCTATATATCTGAACTGTTATATGTGTGCAGGACAAGCAGTCGTGGCAGAAAGAGAAAGATATCTTCCTGACTCCTGGTATGAGACACGAGAACCTGCTCCGTTACATCGCTGCAGAGAAACATGGCAGCAACCTGGAGACTGAGTTCTGGCTCATCATGGAGTTCCACCAACGGGTGAGAAATACAGCCAATCAATCAATCGATCAATAATCAATCTATTTTTCAATCAATTAATCTATCAAATTATAGAAGGGCATGTTGTGTTCATATTGTGGTCTATTCCAGTTTGTCATGTAAGCCATAGTGAAAACCTCCTTTTCCAAGCTCAGTTTAACCATTTGTGTGTGTTTGTACGTGTGTGTGTGTGTGTGTGTGTGCACGTGTTTCTGTGTGTGTGATTCTGTGTGTGTGTGTACAGGGTTCGTTGACTGACCACCTGAAGGGCAGTACAGTGACCTGGTGTGAAATGTGTCATATTGCTGAGACCATGTCCCGTGGTCTGGCTTACCTCCACGAAGACACACCCATCAAGGCAGAAGGTTCCAAACCCACCATCGCACACAGGTAACATCGGGTGTTCAGTAACTAACCTGGTTAGATAAACATCGGAACATGTTAGGACTACAGGTTAATGTTGTCTGTGTTGTTTCTCATAGAGATAGATAGAGGATTGAGGCTATCTCCATTTTAAAGTAGTCAATTTTCTTCTTCTTTTGAGTTTGAAAAAAATTGTGAAGCTTTATATTGGTGATTTACCGCCACCTGAAGTGCTGGAGGACTAAACCAAATCTTGTGTGTCATTCATTTATTGTGGCCACTAGATGGCGGTGATGTAGTTTAAAGACATTTACATACCATGGGCAACCCAGTTTGAAAAAGAGGACAATGCTCTCTGATCATTGGCTGATCGCTCCCAACCCATAGGAATCCACACCCAGTGGACTACTTTAAAATGGTGGAAGCCGTCAATGGCAGAGTCCATTCTAAAGGGGATTTATCCATCTCTCTACCTCTGTGTCTCTCTACATTGGTTCTGCCCTCTTGTGGTCTTGCTCATCTCTTCAATTGGTAAAACTGAATCTAATGGAGGATAAGCCACTGTTGTTCATTAGTGGTTGATAGGCTCCTGGAGATAGCTAGCTTAACTTCAACACATGAGGCCATTTCCAGATTTAATAAGCATGTTATGAAGGTAGATATGTTAAAGTCAACTCACTTTGTTATGAACTGTATTTCCCAGGGACTTTAAGAGTAAGAATGTGATGCTGAGGGATGATTTGACAGCAATCATTGGCGACTTTGGTCTGGCGGTCAGGTTTGAACCGGGGAAACCTCCAGGAGACACCCACGGACAGGTAGACACACACACACACCCACACACACACCCCACACAGGTTTAACTCTTACTTGACTTTTTTCTTTCTCTCTCCCTCTCTCTCCCCCCCATCTCTCTCTCTCTCACCCTCTCTCTTTCTCCCCCTCTCTCTCTCCCCTCTCTCTCTCTCTCTTTCTCCCCTCTCTCTCACTCTCCCCGCTCTATCTCACTCTCCCCCTTTCTCTCTCGCTCCTCTCGCTCTCCCCATTCTCTCTCTCCCCTCTCTCTCTCCCCTCTCTCTCTCTCTCCCTTCCCATCCCCCGCCTTCGTCTCCCCCTTTCTGTCTTTTCTCTCTCACCCCTCTGCTCTCTCTCCCCCTTTCTCCCTCTTTCCCCCTTCCATTTTCCCTTCCCCCTTGTCTCTCGCCCCCCTTTCTCTGTCTTCTCTCTCCTCTCTCCCCCCCTCTCATGCTCTCCCCCCTTTCTCTCTCTGCTCCCCCTTTCTCTCTCTCTCCCCCCCTCGCTCCCTCCTTCATCTCTCTCTCTTACCACCACCCCTTTTCTCCTCCCCCTATCTTTCCTCTCCTCCCTCTCCTCACCCTTTCCCCTCTCTCTCCCCTTCTCTCTACCCCTCCTCCTTCTTCTCTCTCTCCCTCCCTCCCCCTTTCTCTCCTCCTCCCTCTCCCCCCTTCTCCCTCTCTCCCCTCTCCTCTCTCCCGCTCTCCCTCTTCTCCTTCTTCCCTTTGTCTCCCTCTTGTTCTCTCTCTTCCCCGCCCTTCTCTCTCTCCCCCCTTTCTCTCTCTTCTCTCTCTCCCTCCCCTTCTTCTCTCCTCCTTTGTCTCTCTCTCTATTCTCCCTTCTCCTCTTTCTCTCTCTCCTCTTCCCCTCCCCTTCTCTCTCCCCTTTCACTTCTCTCTCCCCTCTTCTCTCTCCCCCTCCCCCTTTCTCCCTCCTGTTACTCGTCATCCCTCTGGTCTCTTACCTTCCAACACCCCCTGGTCTTTCCCTTTGGTTCTTACTGTTCCTTCCCCTCCCCCCCTTGGTGGGTTACCGGGGTTTTGGCTCATGGGCCCCCAGGGGAAAGGGGCCCATAACCCTTTCCAGAAGACTTTCCTTTCCTTTTTAAATCGATAAACCCTTTTCTTGTGGAAACCCTTTAGTAAAGCCAAAATTAGAATTACTGCTTTGTTCTCCTGTAACCCTTAGTAAACCCTTTAAACCCTTAGTTTAAAACCTTTTAAACCCTTAATAAAACCCTTTCCCTGCGCTCTCACGATTCCCCTCGATATATATCCAACTCTTCCCACGTTCTTCTATCGCGCCTCTCGATCTCCCCATTTAGCTCCTCTCCCCTCTCGCTCTCCCCCTTCTCGTATCTCAACCGCTCGCTGTCTATAGTACACCTTTTATCTGTATTTCTCTCAAGAAAATCGAAGCGAGAGCAAGTGCGCGAGAGGAAAAGGGAGCGAAGAGTCCCAAAGGTCTATCGCGACCATTGCGACTGGTATTTAGAGAGAGAGAAACCTATATCTAGCGATCAAAACGGTAGGCGAGCTTGAAAAAGGAAAGCGAGCGCAAAAAAGCGAGAGAGAGAAAGAGGGGCGGATGAGAGAGGCAAAAGGAGGGGTAAGCAGAGAAAAGGGAACGAGAGAGAACAACAAGAGCGAGAGAAAAGGGAAGAGGAGCGATGAAAAGGGATACGAGCGACAAAGGGAGGACGAAAAAACAAGAGATAAGGACGAAAGAAAGAGAAAAGGGGAGAGAGTAGAGAAAAAAGATGGAGATAGATAAAAAGGGCTCGCTAGAGAAACACGGGAGAGAAGAGAGAAAAAAAAGACCAACACACACCCAAACCGTGCGATCATGCCGGTGGATAGAGCTGAGAGCTCTCCCCACTATCTCCTCTATCCCCCTTTCTCTCATCATTCTCTCTCTCTCCCCATCCTCCTCTCTACCCTTTTCATCCTTCCTTTCTCTCTCTCTCCTCTGTCTCTCTCTCCCCCCTCTCTCTCTCCCCCTTCTCCTCCTCTCTCTCTCTCCCCCTCCTCCAGGTGGTCCGTGGCGGATTACAGGCCCCCTGAGGTGCTAGAGGGGGCTATAACCTTCCCAGAGAGACTAATTCCCTGAGGCATAGATTTATGTTACGCCATGGGGTTGGGGTCTGTGGGAATTGGTGTTCACGATGCACTGCCACAACTGGTGAGAATTACTGCTGTGTGTGTGCGTGTGCCATTGAAAACCCTGAGTCAACGCCTTAGAAAACCTTAGTAAACCTTTAGTAAACGCTGATACATACCCTGAGTAAAAACTTTAGTAAACGCCTTATCAACCCGGAGTAAACCCGTAGGAAAACCGGGAGGAAACGCCGGATAAACCCTTAGTAAACCTTTTACGTAAACTCCTTATACACCCTTAGTAAACAACCCTTATGTACACTCCTTGTAAACCCTTAGTACTCCTTGTAAACCCTTAGTAAACTCCTTACTTAAACCCCTTAGTAAATTCCTTATAAACCCGTAGTAAACTCCTTATAAACCCGTCATAAAACTCCTATAAACCCTTAGAAACTCCTTATAAACCCTTGTAAACTCCTTATTAAACCCTTAGTTCAAACTTCAATTTAAACTCTAGTAAACTCCTTATAAACCCTTAGTAAATCTCCTGTAAACCATTAGTAATCCTTGTAAAACCCTTAGTAAACTCCTTATAAACCTTAGTGAACCCCTTAGTAAACTCCTTACAAACCCTTAGTAAACCCTAGTAAAACTCCTTGTTCAACCCTTCGTACAACTCCTTATAAAACCCCTTAGTAAACCCTTAGTAACTCCTTTATAAGTCCTTATAATCCTTATTAAACCCTTAGTAACTCATTATAAACCGTTAGAAACTCCTTCAAAACCCTTCGTAAACTCCGTATAAACCCTTAGGAACTCCTTATAAACCCTTCGTCACCGCCTTTATAAACCCTAGTGTAAATCCGGATACACCTTAGTAAACTCCTTGTAACCCTTAGTAAAGCCTTAGAGACTCCTGAGTAAACTCCTTTGTAACTCCTGAGGAAACTCCTGAGAATAACCGGTAGGAAATACTCCTCTAAACATCGTAGTAAATCCTTATGAAACCCTGTCGTTAAACTCCTTTATAAACCCTGAGTTAAACGCCTAGAACCTTGTAGTCAACGCCTGGGTAAACCCTTAGTTAAACGCATTCTACACCCGTAGTAAACTCCTTATAAACCGAGGAAAACCGGAGGAAACGCCGGACAAACGCGGAGTAAACCGGGAGGAAACTCCGGGGAAACCGGTAGGCAAACTGCCGGAGAAACCCGGAGGAACACCCGGAGGAAAGCCGTTACGGCCTGAGGGAACGCCGGAGATAAACCCTGCGGAACATCCGGAGGAAACCCGGAGGACACGGCCGGAGACCACCGGAGGAAACGCAAGGTACACCGGAGGAAGGCAACGCCGGAGAAAACCCGAGGAAACGCGGAGAAACCCGAGGAAAGCAGGAGAAAACCGAGGAAACGCTCGGGGAAACCCGGGAGTGAAACGCCCGGAGACACCCGGAGGAAAACGCCGGGGAAGGCCGGTCGGAAACGCCGGAGAAACCCGGAGGCAACGCATGGATACCCCGGGAGGAAAGGCCTGTATAAATCCCGGAGGAAACTCCGTAGAAACCCGGAGGAAACGCGGAGAAACGTGAGAAACGCCGGGTAACACGGAGGAAAACGCCGGAGAAACCCGGAGGAACGCCGGGGAATCGCCTTAGGAAAGCCTGAGAAACCGTGCGGACACGTCCGGAGAAACCGGGAGGAAAACGCCTGGAGGATTAACCGGTGAGTAAACGACGTAGAAACCCGCCGGTAAACTCCGGTAGAACCCTTGTGGAAACCTTAGTAAAACGATATTGTCACACCCGAGTAAGGAAAATCGTCCTGTATAACCCCTTAGGTAAACTCCTTATAAACCCTTAGTAAACCCTAAGTACACTCCCTGTAAAACCTAGTAACCTCCTTATAAACCTTAGTAAAACTCCTTATAAACCCTTAGTAAACCGTTAGTAACTCCTTATAAACCCTTAGTAAACCCTATAAAACCCCTTAGTAAACCCCTTAATTAAACCTCCTTTATACATCTTCGTAAAACTCCTTATAAACCCGTAGTAAAAATCCTTATAAACCTTTAGTAAACTCCTTATAAAACCCTTAGGACAACCTCTTTAATAACTCCTTATACATCCGTAGTCAACTCCTTATAAACCCTTAGTATAATCTCCTTATAAACCCTTAGTAAACTCTTGTAAACCCTTCGTAAACTCCTATACACCCTTAAGTAAACTCTTATAAACCCTTAGTTAAACTTCCCTTATAAACCTTAGTAACTCCTTATAACCCTAGTAAACTCTTATAAACCCTTAGTAAAACTCATTATAAAACTTTAGGTAAACTCCTTGCAACTTTAGTACACTCCTTCTAACCCCCTTAGTAAACTCATTATACATCCTTAGTAAACTCTTTAAACCCTTAGTAAACTCCTTATAAAACTTTAGTAAACTCCTTATAAACCCTTAGTAACAAAAACAAAACCCTTGGTAAAACCCTTATAACCCTATAAACCCTAGTAAACTCCCTAGAAAACATTAGTAAACTCCTTGTAACCACCCTTAGTAAACCTCCTTATAACCATTAGACAACCCTTAGTAAACTCCTTATAAACCCTTAGTAAACTCCTTGTAAATCCTTAGTAAACTCCTTATAAACCCTTAGTAAAATCCTTATAATCCCTTAGTAAACCCTTAGTAAACTCCTTACAAACCCTTAGTAAACCCTTAGTAAACTCCTTGTAAAACCTTAGTAAACTCCTTATAAACCCTTAGTAAACCCTTAGTAAACTCCTTATAAACCCTTAGTAAACCTTAGTAAACTCCTTGTAAACCCTTAGTAAACTCCTTATAAACCCATAGTAAACCCTTAGTAAACTCATTATAAACCCTTAGTAAACCCTTAGTAAACTCCTTGTAAATCCTTAGTAAACTCCTTGTAAATCCTTAGTAAACTCCTTATAAACCCTTAGTAAACTCCTTATAAACCTTTAGTAAAGTCCTTGTAAACCCTTAGTAAACCCTTAGTAAACTCCTTGTAAACCCTTAGTAAACTCCTTATGAACCCTTAGTAAACTCCTTATAAACCCTTAGTAAACCCTTAGTAAACTCCTTGTACACCCTTAGTAAACTCATTATAAACCCTTAGTAAACTCATTATAAACCCTTAGTAAACCCTTAGTAAACTCTTAGTAAACTCCTTGTAAACCCTTAGTAAACTCCTTATAAACCCTTAGTAAACTCCTTGTAAACCCTTAGTAAACTCCTTATAAACCCTTAGTAAACCCTTAGTAAACTCCTTATAAACCCTTAGTAAACCCTTAGTAAACTCCTTGTAAACCCTTAGTAAACTCCTTATAAACCCTTAGTAAACTCCTTGTAAATCCTTAGTAAACTCCTTATAAACCCTTAGTAAACCCTTAGTAAACTCCTTATAAACCCTTAGTAAACCCTTAGTAAACTCCTTAGTAAACCCTTAATAAACTCCTTGTAAAAGCTGACTTAATATAAAGTGTTCCTCTGTCTCCGGTAGCGGGGGAGTACAGCCCCTTAACAAAGGGTACCTTCATGTAAAACATGTTATGTTGTTTTGGTCTCAGGTATCATAGGGGAGTATATGCTTCCGTTATAACCCCCTCTTATACCCTTTTTATGTTGTTTGTACATGCTACCGTTATAACCCCTTTATAACATGTTCTGTTGTTGTACATGCTACATTTACAACCCCTTTATAACATGTTATGTTGTTGGTAACATGCTACCCGGTTTATTATAGCCACCTTTATAAACATGTTATGTTGTTGTACATGCTACTGTTACAACCCCTTTATAACCAATGGTATGTTGTTGTACAATGCTACCGTTACAACCCCTTTATAACATGGTTATTGGTTGTTGTTAAGGTAACCGTAGGGGAGTACATGCATACCGTTACAACCCCTTTATAACATGTTATGTTGTTTGTACATGCTACCGTTACAACCCCTTTATAAGCATGTTATGTTGTTTACATGCTACCGTACAACCCCTTATAACATGTTATGTCGTTGTACATGCTACCACTTGGACACATTCAACCCCTTTATAAACATTGTTATGTCGTGTACATGCTACCATTACAACCCCTTTATAACATGTTATGTCGTTGTACATGCTACCATTACAACCCCTTTATAACATGTTATGTCGTTGTACATGCTACCATTACAACCCCTTTATAACATGTTATGTCGTTGTACATGCTACCATTACAACCCCTTTATAACATGTTATGTTGTTGTCTCAGGTACCGTAGGGGAGTACATGCTACCGTTTGAGGAGGAGATTGGCCAGCACACGTCTCTAGGGGACCTTCAGGATGTGGTGGTTCACAAGAAGATGAGACCGGTCTTCAAGGACACCTGGCTCAAACACCCTGTGAGTAACACTGGAGTAACACTGGAGTATAGTGCACCAGAGCGTCAAGCCGCCATTTTCACAATGGTGCCTGTTTTAGTAAAGTTCGATCAAACCAGAATTAATGTCTCGCAAGAACACAAAACGATGAATTAATATTCTACATAACAGAATCAATTATAATAGCGTAATGTCATTTTACTGTTTGACCAAAAACACCACCTCATTTGAAGGATGACCTGAATGTTCTCATGCGGCTAAAACAGTTGGTGCCACCAGGCTAAATATCCTAGTTTGTCTACTCTATTGTAAATTGGATCTTCCTACTTTGGTATTTGAGGGTATTAAAAATAGAAACATTTCTTTAGACAATACAGTGGGGAAAGAAAGTATTTAGTCAGCCACCAATTGTGCAAATTCTCCCACTTAAAAAGATGAGAGGCCTGTAATTTTCATCATAGGTACACGTCAACTATGACAGACAAATTGAGATTTTTTTTCTCCAGAAAATCACATTGTAGGATTTTTAATGAATTTATTTGCAAATTATGGTGGAAAATAAGTATTTAGTCACCTACAAACAAGCAAGATTTCTGGCTCTCACAGACCTGTAACTTCTTCTTTAAGAGGCTCCTCTGTCCTCCACTCGTTACCTGTATTAATGGCACCTGTTTGAACTTGTTATCAGTATAAAAGACACTTGTCCACAACCTCAAACAGTCACACTCCAAACTCCACTACGGCCAAGACCAAAGAGCTGTCAAAGGACACCAGAAACAAAATTGTAGACCTGCACCAGGCTGGGAAGACTGAATCTGCAATAGGTAAGCAGCTTGGTTTGAAGAAATCAACTGTGGGAGCAATTATTAGGAAATGGAAGACATACAAGACCACTGATAATCTCCCTCGATCTGGGGCTCCACGCAAGATCTCACCCCGTGGGGTCAAAATGATCACAAGAACGGTGAGCAAAAATCCCAGAACCACACGGGGGGACCTAGTGAATGACCTGCAGAGAGCTGGGACCAAAGTAACAAAGCCTACCATCAGTAACACACTACGCTGCCAGGGACTCAAATCCTGCAGTGCAAGACGTGTCCCCCTGCTTAAGCCAGTACATGTCCAGGCCCGTCTGAAGTTTGCTAGAGTGCATTTGGATGATCCAGAAGAGGATTGGGAGAATTTCATATGGTCAGATGAAACCAAAGTAGAACTTTTTGGTAGAAACTCAACTCGTCGTGTTTGGAGGACAAAGAATGCTGAGTTGCATCCAAAGAACACCATACCTACTGTGAAGCATGGGGGTGTAAACATCATGCTTTGGGGCTGTTTTTCTGCAAAGGGACCAGGACGAGTGATCCGTGTAAAGGAAAGAATGAATGGGGCCATGTATCGTGAGATTTTGAGTGAAAACCTCCTTCCATCAGCAAGGGCATTGAAGATGAAACGTGGCTGGGTCTTTCAGCATGACAATGATCCCAAACACACCGCCCGGGCAACGAAGGAGTGGCTTCGTAAGAAGCATTTCAAGGTCCTGGAGTGGCTTAGCCAGTCTCCAGATCTCAACCCCATAGAAAATCTTTGGAGGGAGTTGAAAGTCCGTGTTGCCCAGCGACAGCCCCAAAACATCACTGCTCTAGAGGAGATCTGCATGGAGGAATGGGCCAAAATACCAGCAACAGTGTGTGAAAACCTTGTGAAGACTTACAGAAAACGTTTGACCTGTGTCATTGCCAACAAAGGGTATATAACAAAGTATTGAGAAACTTTTGTTATTGACCAAATACTTATTTTCCACCATAATTGGCAAATAAATACATTAAAAATCATACAATGTGATTATCTGGAGAGAAAAAATCGCATTTTGTCTGTCATAGTTGACGTGTATCTATGATGAAAATTACAGGCCTCTCTCATCATTTTAAGTGGGAGAACTTGCACAATTGGTGGCTGACTAAATACTTTTCCCCCCCACTGTATGTGTGGGCCTAGGCAGACGTTGCAATTGGAGGATGCATTTTATGCATATTCTATATAACGATATTCAGTAGGCTACATCTGTCCTTACAAATTTTGAGAAATTATGACGTCATTTAAAAAATATATATATAGCGATCCAACACAACAACAAAAAAATAGCACAACACCACTGAATACACTGGGATAAAATACTGGGAGTGTACAGGAGCTAGTTTACAGGGGCACGGACAGGATGGAGGGTTATGTGGTGGAGAGCTGAGAGTTGATCTGACCAGGAAAGAGGGTTATGTGGTGGAGAGCTGAGAGTTGATCTGACCAGGATAGAGGGTTATGTGGTGGAGAGCTGAGAGTTGATCTGACCAGGATGGAGGGTTATGTGGTGGAGAGCTGAGAGTTGATCTGACCAGGATAGAGGGTTATGTGGTGGAGAGCTGAGAGTTGATCTGACCAGGATGGAGGATGTGTTGTAGAGCTAAGAGTTGATCTGACCAGGATGGAGGATGTGTTGTAGGATCTGAGAGTTGATCTGACCAGGATGGAGGATGTGTTGTAGAGCTAAGAGTTGATCTGACCAGGATGGAGGATGTGTTGTAGGAGCTGAGAGTTGATCTGGACCAGGATGGAGGATGTGTTGTAGGTTCTGAGAGTTGATCTGACCAGGATGGAGGATGTGTTGTAGAGCTAAGAGTTGATCTGACCAGGATGGAGGATGTGTTGTAGGAGCTGAGAGTTGATCTGACCAGGATGGAGGATGTGTTGTAGAGCTAAGAGTTGATCTGACCAGGATGGAGGATGTGTTGTGGGAGCTGAGAGTTGATCTGGACCAGGATGAAGGATGTGTTGTAGAGCTAAGAGTTGGTCTGACCAGGATGGAGGATGTGTTGTAGGAGCTGAGAGTTGATCTGACCAGGATGGAGGATGTGGTGGAGAGCTGAGAGTTGATCTGACCAGGATGGAGGATGTGTTGTAGGTGCTAAGAGTTGATCTGACCAGGATGGAGGATGTGTTGTAGAGCTAAGAGTTGATCTGACCAGGATGGAGGATGTGTTGTAGGAGCTGAGAGTTGATCTGACCAGGATGGAGGATGTGTTGTAGGAGCTGAGAGTTGATCTGACCAGGATGGAGGATGTGTTGTAGGTGCTAAGAGTTGATCTGACCAGGATGGAGGATGTGTTGTAGGAGCTGAGAGTTGATCTGACCAGGATGGAGGATGTGTTGTAGGAGCTGAGAGTTGATCTGACCAGGATGGAGGATGTGTTGTAGAGCTAAGAGTTGATCTGACCAGTGTTTGATTCTAGCTTTAAATAGACTTACTATACTAGAAGTTAATGATTACATGTATAAGGAATGTATATGGTGGGGTCAATGGAGGGTGGATAAGAACTAGGGGTATGGAAAGTTACTGAGTGAGGAAAAAGGCAACAGTCTGGTGTCAGTCACTGATATAAGGTAGGACAGCCGTGGATTAGGGAGGAGGGAGGAATGTGGGCCGAGGTCAGTTGAAGTGACAAGGAACAGTTCCATTACACACACCACCTAACTTCCTGCCTAGCAACAGAGATGTATTGGCTGTCTAGATGTGCAAGGAGTTGACTCCTCCTAATAGGAGAGGGTATCAATACTTGTGCTGGTGGAAACATGTCTTTGTCTTTGCAGCTGTTTGGACCCAGTGGGTTAATAAACTTGGTTTGAGCTTTTACTAGCTGTCCGTTAGGTTCTGACAAACTAACACCAGGAAAAACTCATGATTCTAATGCTGAGTGGTGATTTAGGAAAACTATTAAACTTTTCTGGACTTTTGTTAACTTCCAGTAACCACCTGGTGTGTTTATGTGTCTCTCTCTCTCTGTGTCCGTCTCTCTCTGTGTCCGTCTCTCTCTCTCTGTCTCTCTCTGTGTCCGTCTCTCTCTCTCTCTCTCTCTCTCTGTCTCTGTCTCTCTCTGTGTCCGTCTCTCTCTCTCTCTGTCTCTGTCTCTCTCTGTGTCCGTCTCTCTCTCTCTCTCTCTGTCTCTCTCTGTGTCCGTCTCTCTCTCTCTCTGTCTCTGTCTCTCTCTGTGTCCGTCTCTCTCTCTCTGTCTCTGTCTCTCTCTGTGTCCGTGTGTGTGTGTCTACAGGATCTGTCTCAGTTGTGTGAGACCATAGAGGAGTGTTGGGACCATGACGCCGAGGCTCGCCTCTCCGCCGGCTGTGTCGAGGAACGCGTCTCCCAGATCGCCAGGACAACCGTCAGCACTACCTCAGACTGCCCCGTCTCCATACTAACGTCAGTAACCGACGACGACGACCTACCTCCCAAAGAGTCCAGCACCTGAGTTCTGTGTTATTATGACATCACGGCTGTGACATCATCACGGAAGCGGAAGGAGCGACAGTTGAGTTGAAACCTCATGCTTCTGACTTCTCTTTCCAGAATTCCGCAGATCTTTGAGAAATGGTTTTTAATCGACTTGAATATGGCTGCTATTTTTATGTTCATCTGTGTTTTTTGTTTAGTTTTTTTAATCAAGTCGGTTCTTCTCTTCCATCCGTCTGCTGTAGTTTTCACTGAGAAACCACAATGACAGAAATAAGCTATGTGATGAGACATTCACAGTCAATACCTCATGTTGTGTTTTAGTGGTTTTAAATGATTATTACCTCACTCTGTCGTCTGGCAAAGATGGCGTCCAGCCAAATGAAACTAACCACACTCCAAACCTACCATAGGATACACACCACATAGTCTGAATGATACACTGTTGGTACACATGACCGTGTATACACAAAACACACGCTAGATATACATGTAACTGCCAAAATAAAGGAAACACTTGAGTAAATGAGGGATACAAAGTATATTGAAAGCAGGTGCTTCCACACAGGTGTGGTTCCTGAGTTAATTAAGCAGTTAGCATCCCATCATGCTTAGGGTCATGTATAAAAATGCTGGGCAGGCCGTTATTTTGGCTACCATGGCTATGCCCCCCCATAGGATGACAATGCCCCCATCCACAGGGCACGAGTGGTCACCTGAATGGTTTGTGAGACCAATTTGTAAGTCGCTCTGGATAAGAGCGTCTGCTAAATGATGTAGATGTAAATGAGCATGAAAACGTTTTAAACCATATGCCACGGCCGTCTCAGTCACCAGATCTCAACACAATTCAACACTTATGGGAGATTCTGGAGCGGCGCCTGAGACAGTGTTTTCCACCACCATCAACAAAACACCAAATTATGGATTTTCTCGTGGAAGAACGGCGTCGCATCCCTCCATTAGAGTTCCAGACACTTGTAGAATCTATGCCGAGGTGCATTGAAGCTGTTCTGGCTCGTTGTGGCCCAACGCCCTGTTAAGACTCTTTATGTTGGGGTTTCCTTTATTTTGGCAGTTACCTGTTCATCCCAAACAGCCTGGACGACACACACACATAAACTTTACGATACACACTGTTGTTACACACTGTTGATACATACACACTCACATAACCTTTACGATACACATTGTGTAGATACAGTGGGGGGGAAAAAGTATTTGATCCCCTGATGATTTTGTACGTTTGCCCACTGACAAAGAAATTATCAGTCTATAATTTTAATGGTAGGTTTATTTGAACAGTGAGAGACAGAATAACAACTAAAAGATCCAGAAAAAACGCATGTCAAAAATGTTATAAATAGATTTGCATTTTAATGAGGGAAATAAGTAGTTGACCCCCTCTCAATCAGAAAGATTTCTGGCTCCCAGGTGTCTTTTATACAGGTAACGAGCTGAGATTAGGAGCACACTCTTAAAGGGAGTGCTCCTAATCTCAGTTTGTTACCTGTATAAAAGACACCTGTCCACAGAAGCAATCAATCAATCAGATTCCAAACTCTCCACCATGGCCAAGACAAAAGAGCTCTCCAAGGATGTCAGGTACAAGATTGTAGACCTACACAAGGCTGGAATGGGCTACAAGACCATCGCCAAGTAGCTTGGTGAGAAGGTAACAACAGTTGGTGCGATTATTCGCAAATGGAAGAAACACAAAATAACTGTCAATCTCCCTCGGCCTGGGGCGCCATGCAAGATCTCACCTCGTGGAGTTGCAATGATCATGAGAACGGTGAGGAATCAGCCCAGAACTACACGGGAGGATCTTGTCAATTATCTCAAGGCAGCTGGGACCATAGTCACCAAGAAAACAATTGGTAACACACTACGCTGTGAAGGACTGAAATCCTGCAGCGCACGCAATGTCCCCCTGCTCAAGAAAGCACATATACAGGGCCGTCTGAAGTTTGCCAATGAACATCTGAATGATTCAGAGGAGAACTGGGTGAAAGTGTTGTGGTCAGATGAGACCAAAATCGAGCTCTTTGGCATCAACTCAACTCGCCGTGTTTGGAGGAGGAGGAATGCTGCCTATGACCCCAAGAACACCATCCCCACCGTCAAACATGGAGGTGGAAACATTATGCTTTGGGGGTGTTTTTCTGCTAAGGGGACAGGACAACTTCACCGCATCAAAGGGACGATGGACGGGGCCATGTACCATCAAATCTTGGGTGAGAACCTCCTTCCCTCAGCCATTGGACATTGAAAATGGGTCGTGGATGGGTATTCCAGCATGACAATGACCCAAAACACACGGCCAAGGCAACAAAGGAGTGGCTCAAGAAGAAGCACATTAAGGTCCTGGAGTGGCCTAGCCAGTCTCCAGACCTTAATCCCATAGAAAATCTGTGGAGGGAGCTGAAGGTTCGACTTGCCAAACGTTAGGCTCAACCTTAATGACTTGGAGAAGATCTGCAAAGAGGAGTGGGACAAAATCCCTCCTGAGATGTGTGCAAACCTGGTGGCCAACTACAAGAAACGTCTGACCTCTGTGATTGCCAACAAGGGTTTTGCCACCAAGTACTAAGTCATGTTTTGCAGAGGGGTCAAATACTTATTTCCCTCATTAAAATGCAAATCAATTTATAACATTTCTGACATGCGTTTTTCTGGATTTTTTTGTTGTTATTCTGTCTCTCACTGTTCAAATAAACCTACCATTAAAATGATAGACTGATCATGTCTTTGTCAGTGGGCAAACGTACAAAATCAGCAGGGGATCAAATACTTTTTTCCCCTCACTGTATATATTTTTTATTTTTTATTTAAAACTTTACACCTTTACACACGACTCGGCTCAGAGGAATCACAAGACTGTTCAATTTATTTCTCTTCCTCAGGGGATGAAGCTTCTCACGTTACTCAGCGTTCTGTTTTTACCTCTTTGATCAGCTGTAAGACGCCTCGAAAATAACGCCACAGCTGAACCAGGCCTAACAGTAGAGTAGCAAAGCATTTACAGTTAGCAGCATTTACAGTTAGCTATGGGGCAAGAAGGTCCGGATGCTATGGCGTAATAGCATTGGACGACTGGACTTTGGAAAGGATCAGGACAGTTTGGATTGGAACTACTACCTCTCAGGATGCAGCCTTTTGGAACGTTGGAAAGAAGCGAAGCTAGCTTTGGCAGTACCAGGCATTGCCATATGGAATTGCTATGTTTAAAAAAAAAATTAAATTCTTGATTTTACTTTTTCTGTGTTTGTGTAGAGTAGACAGAGAGAGTTTGTTTTCTGAACAGCAGCTGAAGCTGTTAATACGTATTTTTGATTGATTCTCAGTCACAAGGGCCATACTTGAGTTGGCTACAAGTCTGTTTATATACTCAGTGGACAGTTCATTAAGTAAACCTGTCTAGTACCGGGTCCGAGCCCCCCTTTTGCCTCCAGAACAGCCTGAATTCTTTGGGTCATGGAAACGTTGCTCAATTGGTATCAAGGGACCATTACACCACCGCCACCAGCCTGTACTGTTGACACCAGGCAGGATGGAGCCATGGACTCACGCTGCTTACGCCAAATCCTGACTCTGCCATCAGCATGACTCAACAGGAACCGGGATTCGTCAGACCAGGCGATGTTTTTCCACTCCTCAGTTGCCCAGTGTTGGTGATGGCGTGCCCACTGGAGCCGCTTCTTCTTGTTTTTTAGCTGACAGGAGTGGAACCCGGTGTGGTCGTCTGCTGCAATAGCCCGTCCGTGACAAGGACTGACGAGTTGTGCGTTCCGAGATGCCGTTCTGCACACCACTGTTGTACTGCGCCATTATTTGCCTGTTTGTGGCCCGCCTGTTAGCTTGCACAGTTCTTGCCATTCTCCTTCGACCTCTCTGATCAATTATCTGTTTTTCGCATACACGCTCAAAGTCTCTTAGGTCACTCGTTTTGCCCATTTTAACGTTCGATCGAACAGTAACTGAATGCCTCGATGCCTGTACGGCCACGTGATTCACTGTCTGTAGGAGCGAACCATTTTGGTGAACGGGGTGTGGTGTACCTAATTAACTGGCCACTGAGTGTATGTCTCTGTCTGCTCAGTAGACTCAGGCTGTGTCCCCAATGACACACACAGTGCACTACTTAGTACCGGGTTACAGAAAGCTTCGATTTCCAGTCTTTTCGTTTTGGAAACAATTAACTGACTTTGTGAGACTTGAGTTTCAGTTACCTCAGCAACCTGTATGTCATTTCAAGAAAATTAGTCAACTCAGTGGTTGCCTTCGTTTCAACTGCGATGACATACCAGACTGGCCTGGTTCCAGGGCTTGCCAAGACAACACAAACACACCTGGAACCAGGCTAGGATGACCAGACCATAACATGCCACTACTCTAGGGTCCTCAACGCTAGCTAGATGTACGCGTCATGTGGTCTCTGTTTTTGGGGCTTTTAACCGACAACTCGTTCTGTGAATGTAAGTGATCCTAATAGTTATAATAACAAGATTGCTTTTAGAGATGTAACGATTCGCTCGATACGCATCGGTCCCAGATTCAAATGTTTAAGATAAGACGGACCCCAAACCGAATGTAGCATTGCAACGGTCAGAAAATCGACTCGAATGTTACGAATCGCTGATTCACTAACAGTTTTCGTTCATATTACATTCTTTCTACCTTACATAAATACCTCATATTTTGTGACAAATGATTATTCTCCTTCAGTGTCTAACTGTATGTAACTGTGTTGACAGTCATTGATCTACAAGTCATTTAGCATGCCGAACAACCCCAGGGAATATCAGTAGCCTAGTCAAACTGCACATTGTGCCCAGCTTCACGCGCTGACCAACGTGACGTACGTGGTCTGTTCCTGATCTTGCAGAATAAAAGTAAGCTACCGGAGACAACTCTCATCTGGCTATACCTGCTGAATGGGCTTACAATAGATTTGATTTAGATTATTCAGGTTCACCATCACCAATATTTGACAAGACATTTCATTTTTAATTAATT